CCCCCGGTTTTGTTGTTGTTGTTGATGTTATTGTTGTTGCTGTTTGTTTTTGTGTGAGTGTGTGTGAGAGTGTGTGTGTGTGTGTGTGTGTGTATGTATGTGTGTGAATTGATTCATTCACCTTTAGCTCCCTCCAATAAGTGAAAACATGTGGTATTTCTTTTTCACTGCCTGACTCAGATGGCCATTCTTTACTAGCTTACTAACTAGATCTTTTTTAGGTTAACAGGAACTGAATCCATGACTTGACTTCAGGGAGGATGGTCACCATGAATCAGCTCCCACTCAAGAAGTTCTTTGATGTTTATCTGAGATTTTATGATTATGCTTGCATGTCCCTGCTTAGGTCACCATGAATCAGACCCCTACCACCTGTCCCTATAAAACCCTTTGGCAAGTCTGGAAAAAGTGGAGATGGTCTTTGAGACATAAGTCTACCATTTCCCCAGGCTTCTGGCTTCCTGATTAAAGGCTACCTTTCCTTACATTAACACTTGTCTCTTAATTATTGGCTATTGAGCAGTGAGCAAATGGATGTTTGGGGTTTTCGTAACACTTTTCTAGAGAAATGGGTGAACCTTACCAAAAATAAAGTTGCAGTGGCCACAGCAGGGAAGACTTAACCTAAACAAAATTGCTCATCTACGGGGCATACTGGAGGGGGAAAAAGGGGGATCCTGAATGCCTCAGAAGCAATGGAATGTATTTTTATTAGCATGCAGATGCTTCTAAAAGACTAAATGAAAAGCTTAAGCAATTAGCTGATGAGGAAAAAAAAATTACATTGACTGATGACTTTGACTGTACTTTCTCTGTTTCTCTTTATCCTATTCTGCCTACTCTGAATTTACTAACCTTTTTGATTACTTTCCCACCTCAAAGGTTGGGGAAAAAAAGAAGTTATTTATAGAAGTTGGACCCTCTGTACAAAGGGGTCTGCTTCCTTAATCACCTTTGTGCCTGGGTCAAATCTTAAGCTCAGAGTAACAGTGAAAGGTATCCCAGTCTGGCATGGAAAATGCTTTGTCTGCTCTGTTTGTTAATGGACTCTGAACTCAGTAATCTAAGTTAAAAAGACAAAAGTGGAGTTGGAAGTTGCCCATTTTTAGTTATCTTGAGACTTTTTTGTAAAAGAAATTTAGATTGATAAAGGAAACCTCCATTTGTAAGGGTATCTCCCTCTCAGCACCTCAGCACCTAAATCATTAAAAACTTTTACAATGGAGAAGGCAAGGACTTAAATCTACATAACAAGCCTCACCTTTGACCATCTGTCTTAACTGGGCTTCCTATTTATGTCTCTCTTCTTCTTGACAAATAATAGAATCTAGGCTTGAAATCTAAGTTCTGTGCCTTTGAGACTAAACTTGATACCTTGTTTTACCTAAGAGCCATCCCTTTGAAAATGCAAATTTAGGGTAGGAACATTTTAGATGGTTATTAAAAGCCATGGACATCTGAGCCAATCAGGCTCATTCTCTCAGGAATTTGGAACTGGGGTCTGAGGGCAGTGAATCTATTCCCTGTTTAGTGGCAAGAGCTAATAGAGGTGTAGACGAGTCATACTTTATTCTTGTGAACTGAGGAACAAGAGAAATGAGAGGGAGAGAGAGAGGAGGAAAAGGGCCTTTCCTGAGACTTATCCCTGTTTCTGCCCATTTTTTATTCTTCTGCGTGTAACAGATGAAGAAATCTGTTCTCACTAGAAATCCTTTCTGGAGGCCACTGAGTTTGTCTTCATAGGCAGTCTGGGTTAGAGAGGAAGACTCTAAGGGAATATGTGATAACCGAAGCTTTTAGCTAAATTTTTAGACAAA